CGCCGAAAACCAAGCCTGTTGTACGGACATCCTAATTCACCTTAACTCAACACTCGTCATAATTTGGAGGTGGCTTCTTTGTTTCACAGTTTCGAAAAGGAACTGTGTTTGTTAGAGAGTAAGAGTCGCAAGAGCCGATATTTTCTTGCCCGTGTTAGCGCATGTTCGCTTGTCACACCAATAATAAATATTATTTGACCGGGACGAAGTGCTTGTCCATATTCAGGACGAGAATTAATGCGAGCTAAAAAACACCGAAATGTTTACGAAAATACACTAATTTGCAAACTAATTTGGTTTGGTCGAGAGACTCACCTGGATCCCAGCTGAATCTCTCGTTTGTGAGGTTCTCAGGCAACTGAATGTGTTGCACCAGGTCGCCTCATGTTTCAGTAGCTACGATATTCGAGATATCGCGATACATGTACATCTTAGTAATGTACTACTCATAAGGTTGCTGTCGACGGATTTCCAGCAACCTTATGAGTAGTACATTACCGAAATGTTTACTTCAAACTAATGTATAGTCTCAATAGATCAGCGGTTTTTAACAACATCAACGAATCAACTGTATGGGACAACGACATCAATGGCTCAGGAGTAAAACCTGGTCTTACTCTCCCTATCCTTCTCTCCGTGCGTGGTGCACGCATGGCCAAGCACAAACCACCTTTGGCGTTATCCTTGCTGCGTGATGGTCCTCCAGTGAAATTCTATGCGATGGGCAAATCCGCAAACGGACTCCGGTCTACTAAGGGATACGGACTGCCAAAATAATCCCCTAAAATATAGAGGAAGTGGCTATGCGGGGAACGGACACCGAATTTTCCCGGGTGAATTTTATTCTTTGAGATGGAATCAATGAGTTTATGTGTTGTTACCAGGTATTCCGATGACCACTGGCTCCCACAACTTAGAGACAACCAATCTAGCGCCAGAATAGGTTGGTCGAAGTTTCCTAGTATGCTCAGCGACAGTCCTTGAGCTTCTAGTTCTGATAGCAACTGAAAGGACTGTGGGTCTTAGCTCCATAGCACCCTCTTTAGCAGCACTCGCGAACTATGTGCATTTGAAAATGAGGTGGCTCCTGGCTACCATGTTGCCATTGTATTGTTTATGCGATCCGTTTAGTTGAAGCTACAATACAGTCGTTCTTGCAACAAGCAGCAGTTGCAGTGAACTGAGGGGTGGAAATTTCTCCTCGAAGTGAATGTCTAAGCACACAGAGGATGGAATTCTCATAGGTTCAGTAATAACTCTCCCAAATGGTGATGGGTGCGGAGTCCACAGTGCCTACTGAAGTTAAAAACATCCTATCCCAAGTAAGGGCGTTTTGATTGAAACCTTTCGACCACTGCTTTCCGTTGTCTTCAGACATTCGATGCTATGTAGTATTGATTTCATCTCTAACCGACTGAGCCAAAGGGTTTTGAGTAATTTAACCTAGCTTCAAACACCTATGGATACGGCTGCATAGAAACAATGCAACCAAATTTAATGGGCAAATCGGACACAACAATGATCAAGCGCTTCGAAGTAGCACAAAAATGAGACACATCACCCACGTTAGAGTTGGTTGGGCGAGGCCTTCAGTCATTTGTCTGAATGCAGTATTTCTCCAACGGGAAAACATTGACAGTTGCATATTCTAGAGGTGGCACCCCAGAAACCTGTAGAATGACGCCAAGTTACCAGGTAGCGTAGGTGGATGGAGAGAATCAGTGGGGGGAAGTACGCTGCAAGAAGTGAACCAAGTGAATCAAGAAACGAGGTCAAGACATTAATGGGTCAGTTATTTTGCGAACTAGTTCTGGTAGCAGAACACGCAAAACAATGTTTAGATGCAACACTGATAAGCCACATGTATGTAAGTCCCTATAATATCAACTGATTAGTGCTCCAGGTAGGTGAGAGGAGCAAGGCATCGTTAATTAATCAGTGGACTAGACACACCATCTCGGAGATCGCAGTGTACATATTGATCAGGTCAGATCGTGCGTGTTCCTATTCACATGCCTGGTTGATGCATGTAGATGGAAATAGAAACGCAGATGAATTTTCAAGAAGGAATGGAAATGCGAGTTTGTCTGTGGTAAAATATTGCGGCAAAGTGGCACTGTATCAGGAAGGTCAGCTTCCTGAAAACAACCCCTGAATGCCCGAAATCTACCGAGTCTCTTAGCTCCGCTAGATGTTGACCAGACGGACAAAATTCCGTCAACACGCAGAGCCTCACAGCCTTGTTTCAAACCCAGACAGCCCGAGTCAGCGCTGATCAAGGTCAGACAACGCCCCCCCCAGTATGCAGCACGTCGCAGCCAGACCGTGTGCGTCAGTATTGGACCAAGTTCAGTGTCCTTCCAATAAATAGCTTGAGACCGTTGTACCATTCGCACTCGCACGCAATCACGCTCCCGCACTCGCTCGTTCGGAATATAGCTGTTGTGTTCCCTTCTGTGAGCCTTTTTTCTCCGGCACTAGACACTGGAGCGGGTCAGCAGCAGATACCACAGATTGACGAATCAGCAGATATAACATACTGAATGCCACTGAGTTAAAAAAAAACGTGGTCCGGAGATTCGCGAAGCAGGCAAATGTACCCATCGTAATGGAGCACAATGAGTAACACTGTCCCCCTGGTCCTACAGTGATCTCCATAACGCAGCTGAACTGTCTTATTTGGCGACTGGAATCGGCCCAGGTTGAAGGAAATGCGATGGACTGAGTTCACAATTTGATTTACAGTTAGATTCGAAGCATATTTCCCAAAATAATGCAATGCGATTTGTGTCAGAATGAAGAGTGAACTGTAGACCTCCAGCTCAGTTCAGAAACTGACAGTTCAGGATGCTGAGTACACTACATGACGATATTCAACGGTGAGCACTAGAGTATCGTAATTCTTTCCAACGCCAATATGACTATGTGAGTAATATTCCTCATATAGCTGTTCTTTGGTAAGCAACTGGTGAAAGCCAGCTGCAGTCTCCGAGTTCTCATGAACCTAATATTTCACGTGAACTCAAATTGTACGAAATACGCAAAATACACTCATTTGCGCACTAGTTTGGTTTTAACCGGCCGAGTCGCACGTTAAAACCAAATTAATGTATACATCAGCTTATCTCCTCACTTTTCACTGCGACATACCAGTCAACAAGGAATACATTCACCATCAAACGATCATTTTTAAAGCGACGCGCTGCGGCGTCGAGACCAACGTCTACTAACAGACTATAGGTTGCAGCCACAAAACACACTTGGTTTTGCGGGCTGCTGAATGAGGTCCTTAATATAAGACGGTTTACTGGTCATCTGCTTTGAACGAATTTGAAAGGTGCCATCGTCCGAAAACCTTTCGACAGATTCTTACTTGGCTCACCCCTCTTTCAATGAATTTATTTAAAGAGTAAGTGCACTGATTTTGAACAACCAAAGGATAACGAGCTATTCATTGTATGATCTATCGATTTTTATGGGGCGAGACGTCTCAGGGAGCAGACAGAAAGAAATAGTCCAACTGTAACACTTGCGGTGCATGGCTGTAATGCTACCTGAAGGGACCACGAAGGCTGAGATACTGGCAGATTGCCCAAGCCTGGGCTGGAGCAGTCGAGATGCAGAGGTTGGGTTTGGCCCACGAACCCTCGGGTCAGTAACTTCGCCACCTAACCACTGAGCTATCTCGAACTCGGGCAGCAGATAGAGTCCTGGATCGGTGCAACCAACATATACAAGGGGGCGGGGGTCGCACCGGGTCTCACCCTGTGACGATGACCGGCTGATGATCACCGTTTGTGAGCAGCAACAATACAGAACAACGTTGAAGGCAACACATCACAGGAAATAGTGGCCGCAGTGAACAACGGGATTCTGCTTTAGAAAACAATCAGAAGAGTTATCTGAAAGGTAGCCTCTCACTTTCATTAGGTCAGTTTCTTTTCAGCCGAGTGGAACATAAGGGTCGTGGGAAACTGGCAAATGCTGTTAGGGGAAAATCGAAAAACATGGATGACACCGCGGACTGTTCATCAGCCCATCCTACGGAGCGTAAGGTCTTGGCAAGCATAACCTGTTTGCCAATCTGACATAGGGTACGGATGTTGAAAGCTTCTACCTAGAAAGAATCCCATGGATTCGGCATTGCTGTTTTGTTTATTGTTCACGGGAAGCGGAGTGTGTTGGACATGACTGGCGATCAAGTGAAACAACAAAGCTTGTACGGTGAGATGAGGTTGGAGAGGGACATCAATGAACAAAGAACCGTGGGGGCGATTGATTATTCCAGATTTCCCGGGCTCATGAAGATAGTTTAGGTGATGTACACTCTTGAGACTGAATCAGAATTTTGGTCTGCAAGGCAGTAGGAGGATGTGGACCCTGCCCTTGACTCGCAAGAGTGGTTTTCTGGGTTGTGCCTGGAGGCGATGACTCAGCAGGCAACCCATGGGTTGCATGGGGCTGGCCTAACCAGAGAACGCTAGGAAGAAGGCACAGGTATCTCAGTCCTGCTACAAATCGAGTTCGCAGATGCGTGTGGAGCCATATCGAGCCCACGACAAAGTTTAGATGTATCCGACCGTACTTGATAACTCCCCGACGGCCACGCTTCACCGTTGGGCGATCCGCGTGTGCGATTTTTAGAGGTGACTTCTCTAACCCGTTATTCCTCGGGATAAGACAGCATCGGTGCTTCCACGAACTTGAACATGCTGGTCACCCGAGGGGAGACATCTTACTGCCTCCATACTCCGATCAAGAATCCGAGACCGTATAACCAATTACCACCCGCAGTTAAACACCAGAGAATGCTACTGCCGAAAATACTGAACACTCACTCAACTGGACAAAGCTTGAACTTAACAGGCTTCTGGAATACGTATCGTCTACCCTAAAATACATGTTATAACTAAAATAACGAGTTCCAAGCTCTTGGAGTGGATACTGACAAGTTAATGGTAGTTCCAAAAATCCCTGTGGCCTCAAGGCTCTCCAGTAGTGGCAAAAATCACATAAGAAAGATTATTGTGTTTCGTGTGAGGACTCAAACCAAGCATACTAGCTAAGTTGAATTCAAAAAAATACAAGACAGCGCGTTTGTAGTGAAATAAGAAAATGATAGGAATACAGAATACATTGGGGAAAAGACTAAGCACTGCAACGTGGCGGGAACGGCATGTGCGTGATAATAAGGTAGACGTGGGAAAGGTAAACATGTGGAGGAACAATGAACCATCAAGAGTAGGGTCCAATGCACAGAAGCGCGTGTATACAGTTAAAAAAAGTGTAGCAGAAGAAAGACAAGATAGAGTAGCCAAACCCGGTGATGAAATGAAATAATCGCAGGGAAAGCAGTTGTAGATACGCTCTCTGGCCACCACGTGGTCGCCATCGGCAATGACTGATGTTTAGGTAACAAGGGAAAACACAGCCGATCAAAGCACTGTAATCGAGTATTTCGTTGAAACGGGGAAAAACATGACAAAACCAAAGCTGTGTACAAAATAGCCAGTACTCTGGTTCTGCTCCGTGAATTCACTGTGCTTGAAGTTAACCACGAGTTGAACCATGAGCTGCTGGAGATAGTAGTAAGTCGGTAAACACCTCAATGAGTGATAAAATCAGCAGAACTGCCGAGCGAGGCAACCGACAGACCAGAGCTCAAGGGAGAAAATCACTGAGAATGTTGATTTGGAACAAATCAAACAGCAATCAGAAAGACACAAGCATGTGACTCAGTTTTCACAGTTTAGGCACTCTCGCAACTAGACAGAGATTGTCGCGCGTTGCGAACGCCACTACTGAATGATTAGATCACCGCATCAGTTGGACAGCTCTTACGCTTGGATCGGCATTCATAAAGAACGGCAGTTTACTCACAGCTCAAAATATATGAGTGGAATACAGTAGCATAAGTTGGAAAATTGTCCATTAAGTAATCCTTGGTTCACGCTATATGCAGGGAAATCGCTAGACGCGTTTGTTGGAGCCAATATTGACCAAATGACTGGAACGGGGAAAGGTAGACACAACAGACTTATGCAGCGATTCAACGTCCGACGCATACTTATCATCTACAGCGGTACGACTAAACAGCCATCATCATGGACTGGGCATTTTAAATCTTGGGTAGTTTAGGGCATATAATTTGCGGATTGGTTCGTCGAATATCTTCTTGTCCAGCTTTCCGGTAGTCGAACGAGCAATTGTGTGCGTCTGAGTAACGATGCAAACTGCAGAAGAGTCCTTCACATCGGCATGTGTAACCTGAAAGAAACGAAGACAGTCAAGTTAAGTTGGAAATGTGCTCGAAATCGAAGTGAGGTTGTTTACATTTATGGAACCACTGCTATGCCCCCTTGCTCGTGCTGTCCGGAACCGTGAGAAATTCAAAGCAGAAAGTCTGAGCTACTAGTTCACTAACGCTCACGGTCAACCATGATAAGCGGACATCTGGCAACATGGCGCACTACATTGGGCCTCAATACGGCCAGTGGGGAAAGGTACGCTGTGGAAAGGTGCCTTAAAATTCAGATGGAACAGATTATTGAACAATCGGGGTATCTACACTATCACTATTTACGCCACCGTTTAAACTCTTGCTGGAAGCGGTAGCCAAATGCTGAATACGGACTGAATCCACAAACGGAATACATTGTTTGCGTAAAAGTCTTAATGTCCATCTTAAGTGTGTCCGTGTCACCAGTGATCAAAACATGTAACTCACCACTGGCCAGACCGACTGGTTTGCGACACACCTCACAACGCCGCGGCTTCTTGGGAGCTGAAAGTAAGGAAGGAGTGTAGCAACATTCAAATCAATCACTCCGGATAGTGACAAACTTCAGTGTATGTATTTGTAAAGCAAAAACAAGAAGTTGATCATGACGATCTTGTGGATCGGCTATGATTTACACTGTCCAGTCTCGTATGATGCAGCCATTGCTTTATCTAACACACTAAGGAAAATTACGCATTCCGTGACAATGCATGCAGTGGTTTTATCGGTGACAGCACGATCAACGTCCACGCGTTTGCAAGTCGAAAGAGTAATAATAGTTTAGCTGTACCACTGATTACCATGCTCCTACATCAGGTCTTAGGAACACAATCGTCTTGGGATGGAGTCGCTCGCTAAATAAGCCAAAACGGGTAGTAGTAAACAAAGTTAACAAAGGTCAGCGAAGATACCACCCGCTTCCACAGCAAATGTCAAGGTGTTTGGACGAGACTGCACGATGAGCATATAGGTTAACTCGCTGACATAGAACCTAGAGCTAAGTACTTAACAATGCTAAATCATCCCCAACTAATCGCGCGTTGATTGTTAGCACAAGGAAGGCAGTAGAAAAATATCTACTCGAATCAGAATAATGCGGGTCCGAAACTGGATCATTTAGCCAAAGTGTACATGAAAGTTTTATTCGTCTTATCAGCGTGATTAACAACACCAGGAAATTTCCGCGCTGATGCTCTGTGGTAGAACTACAGCAGCCGTACAGAAGTTAAATGTGTTTGGTTTTTCGATGGAGTGGAGGAGAAGTGTGGGTTAATGTGTGATACATCAAGATCGTGACAGTAACTGCGAAGGAAATCAACATAGTGAGCTGTACTCTTGTCGAGGCCATTTACAGTGCAATATGCTCATTGGAGAATGTAAAGATAAATACCTGGAAAGCTGGTAACATCTGATTTATCACCGACTGAACATGCTGAAAGGCTGGCCTCTGTGTCTTCCTCGTCAAGATGTGGTGACGATTTAGGATCACTAATTGTTGACGAAGAACCGTCAGAACCGACTACTGTAGTGGCAGAAGACGATGTGTCGGACGAGTGGCGACTTTTCACCGGTGAATCCTTTTCGGGGGTAAGGGCGGGTGAATCCTGTTTCAGGATAGCTTCCACTGAAAAAAGGTTTAAAAGATAGTGTTAGCAACCAGAAAACCGGAAACTCGTTAAGCGCAGTTGATGGCCCACTTACTCAGCTCATAGAGGATGAAGACATTTAGGGTACATTACTAAATCATTCAGCTGAGGAGCATTTTTTGGTTGAATTACCCAAATCTGAGCAGAAGTGATCGGGATTTGAGGGATAAATACGATTCATGGGACTTCCGAAATCCTGAGCTCAACCGTTAGGAGAACTACAAGCAGCGGTAATTGCGGGAAAGGTACGATTGCATTTCAATCTGCAAACTACGGATACTTCAGAGGTATAGCTCATTAGGTCTACCTGCGAGCACAGCACATCACATGGTGATAAGATCGACTAATCGCGATGGAATCCGACATCGGATCGCTCATCACCGATCTACTATTTATCACAAAAATTGAGATAGTCCTATTTGCTGATGACGTGAAAATATGGTCACCGACTAGGAGGTTGAACACGTACTTGCTGTCGACTGAGAAAATGACCACTAACAACCGCTTAAAGTCAACAAACGATTGCGTAGCCACTTTAATCGGTACTTAGGGACTGGGAAATGGGTTATAGACGTGTTCCGGAAGGTATCATTGGATTCTTAGCGCAACAAAACTCGTCTTATTATTCTAACCCAACAGGAGCTGTTGAACTTACGCGATGACAACTTGAGCTTCTGCTGTGCTTACCTGTGTCTCCTAAAGATACACACCAAACCAAAATGAATTAGCTATTTAGGCTTGAAGTCAATATCTGAAGCAGGATCCAAGACTCTTTAAAGACTTTCAGAGAAAAACTTATACGTCTTCGCATCAACTTGATGACACCCCTAGAAATAATATATCAGATCCATCTCCAATTAGACGTTACTGACTTTTCATCTTTCAAATTTCGAATAACAGCCATACCGACTATTATTTATTTTCCCGTCTTACAGAGCAGATAGAGACGTGTGCTGGTAGTCAAAAAGTATTCAGTAAACTAGCTGAAAGATCTCTCAGTAGCAGCAATGCACGAATGACCGGCTTGAAAATGACCTTGAAACAACGTGAAAGATTGAAAAGCAAACGAACATCAATTGAGGGTTACGCGGACTAGACTAGTATGTGGACTAATCATTTTCGCATTATTGAAATACAGCTCACCAATCTGGAGCGCGAGAAGTGAACTCGTAAGGAATTAAACTTATAAAGGTCAACAACCCCAACAGAAGATGGCTAATTACCGTTCGTCTGACGTAGCCAGTTGGTCATTCGCGTTATCGACTGTTTTTGCATGCTTTGAACATTTCTCGATCTGAGGCACCCAGGGGAGAGGTGTCCGGAACGGCACTATAACGAAGAACACGAGTAAGGGCCCAAGTAGACTGACCTAACACTGCTGAGGCTCAATTAATTACGTTGGGCTGAAATCGAGAAGCACGAATGATGTGTTTGTTGTGACTGACTGCGAACCCCGGATAAACAGCCCTGGTGGCGGTACTAAAACGCACTTCTGACTTGGAAACAAGGGTGTCCGGTGGGTGTTGGAAGATTGGTTGGCATTTTTTCTAGGATATGCCTGATTCAAGCACCGTCGGTCGTTGTCGATTTCTGTTTGAGCGACCAATTGATAACTTGCTTGTTTTGGAAACTCGATGGCCTACCTGAAGCGGTTCCTAGTGAGTCTCCCACATTCTTGAGTTGTTTTCAAGAGTCTGGACAGCCTACAGCAGTTAATATCAGACCACGGACTGTTTATGCTTTGTAGTAAGTTTCGAACCCATTAGGTATCTGAACAAGCACGACCAACGACTGTACGCAACTTGAGAACGAGAGGGCAATTCTCCAGCTATGCCGGGAGCCCGATCACTCCTAGCGCGGAGAGAAGACCGGACCTTCGGAGGAGAGCGTTTACTGCCTCAAACAAAGCCGAAGTACAGCGGGAGCATAGTCGAATATATACATATTTTGAAGGACCTTGGGGAATTATAAATTCATTAGCACACGCAGAGTTCAATTGGCCAATCGGAAGGAAGTGCGGTCCTTTTGGAATAATGTGTAGCAAACTGTGAAAAGCGCGAGTACTCAAAATCCAAATTTTCTGAAAACACGTTTGGCAATCAACTCGACAAGTAAGCGGTTTTGGGGGTACTGATATCCCCAACAAAACATCCCAAGCAGCTTGGCCGCTTGATGCCCCCCGCATGCAAACCCGCACAAATAGACGTAACCAACAGCGACAGGTAGCTCGGGGCAATTATTGATTGTCACTCGTTCTGGGATGCCTGTGTGGATCCAAATCAAGCTCTTGTTCGCTGCCGCGTTTTCCTGCGCTTTTCAGGGGCTCGAGAGATGCAAACGCCTCACCTAGACATTGAGAAGTCCTCGGACCCTGATGCGGAGCAAATGAAAAATCACCTACTTAAGTCCCTTCCAGGCAATCTGCCTTCTGATCTCGACTCTTGCTGGAAAGCGCTGTGGGCAACCCTTCAAGGAGCTCGATGCTCCGCTTGTGGAACGACGCTCTGGATTACGAGCGAACACTAAAACTGCTCGAAACTCAAACATGTATTTCTGCTGGTTGAGGCACTCCCTTTGGGAGGAGTAAAATTCTTTCTCCAAAACCCTCAGTGCCTCTTGAATTGAGTATGTTACTTGAATTGCAAGTAACATACTCAGAGACTACGTTCTGAACCATGACTTTGCTCTCTGAAAGTGCAAGGTGAATGCAGAAAAGGATGGTATGATGGTTGTTGGTTTTTTCTGGGGGGAGAGACTGTCCGTCGCCTTCGTCCTCAGAGATGAGAACGATGTCATCTGCGTACTACAGATTGACAGGGTTCCCACCAGTAAAGATGTGAACACTGGAGTCTCCAAGACCTTCCAGCGTTCCCCTCGTTGTCCTATTAACGAAGCTCAGCAGAAATGGAGGGCAGACATCCGTGCTTGATTGACAGGGCTCCCACCAGTAAAGACGTGAACACTGGAGTCTCCAAGACCTTCCAGCGTTCCCCTCGTTGTCCTATTAACGAAGCTCAGCAGAAATGGAGGGCAGACATCCGTGCTTGACACCACTTTTTATCCAAAAGCTTTTAGAGAGCTTGCGATACACTCTCATACATTCAGAATATGTGAATATAGGGACCGGACTAGGTTCAAAAACTTTTGGGACGAGTTTAACTAAAGGTACTGACCAATCGACAGAATCGAGCACACCCTTAAAGCCAAAGAACACCAACATTGTATTCTATACGTATGACGTTGTACAAAGATGTGGTTTACGTGGGCTGTACCCGTCGAAATCCCGCCTAGTGCATACGGATCAAGGTATCTCGTGACGAGGAATGAGTGACGCCAGGAGCATTGTTATAACAGACTGATACCACTTTAGTTGCTATGTGCACTGTGAGTACCTTTTTGAAAATGGGCATTATTATCCACTCACCCCAGTTCCTGGAGAAGTCTCTTTCTTCCAGATGGACACAAATGAGCTAGACGGACACTCGGTGAGGAATTCGCCGCATCCTTAGATACAACAGCTGAAAGATCGCCGGGATAGGGAGCACGATAACGCTTGAGTTTAGATATACACTCGGATACTTCTGAGGTTGAGGGAGGCTCCATATTAATAAAGCAACTTCATGTTGAAGGCTAACATTCCTGATTGGAGGCAGGAAGTGGTCAACTGAATTGTTGTTCGAGATATTGTACCAGCGGACCAAGCGTCCTCCTTTGTTGGATATCAGGGGGCTATCCTGGTCCCTCATGAATTCGCTGAAAAGAAGCTTGCGGACGAATTAGCCTGAGAACTTTTTTGCCACTTTGCTTCTCATTTCTTCGGTCTTTGAGGTTCACCAAACTCCCAGGTCTGCACGGACACTCAGATTCACTTGGCGGGCGAGCCCCATATACATAGCCCACGTCTCTGTTAAAGTCGGACAGCCCGGATCGAAGTTGGTAGGTCAACTTAATTGTTAGAGGTATTTCACGGCCCAAACATTCTCCTCTGTTGGATATCTAATAGGTGCTCGGATTCAAGCTTAAAAGTGCGCGATGACCCTTGTAATTTTTGCACCCGCTTGTACGCAATTGCGTTCCTTGTTAGCGAGTCTTTTTTCAGACGCCTAGGCACTGGAGACGGGGTTGAAGTTAGTCACTCTGGTCCCAGATGCTTTCGATGACCGGAGGCTACCGGGGACCAATCAAACGAATCCAGTGGAATAACCTATGGATGTTTCCAGCACCTTTCGCGCCTTCCGTTACTTTAACTCCCTTGATCTGTGAAGTCGTCCGGTCCGCGTAGACACTAAGTTTGACCTGGCATCGGATGATGCGTCGGATTGAGTTGTGGTTGCAACCAGGAGGAATCTGCCGCCAGCCTCCCAGTAAAGCCACGGTGCTTGGATGAGGTAGGGTGGGTTTCGTCGTTCTGATGTAACAACCTTTCGGTGCCTACCTGCCATGCCACCCGAAAGAAGCACGAAGGCTCGGATACTGCTAAGTTGCCTAGGCTTACTCTCGTGCATCAACCACTGACGGAGCTTAATCACTCGTGCAGATCTCTCCAACCCACTGACAGTGCTGGATTTATGCACCATTTTACCAGCTCGCGCGTGCAATGCGCAGCTACCCCCCAATCATCGGTGAACGAAACTGCGGCAGCTACAACCAGTGTACGACGAGTACGCGGTTCTTACAGCTGACAATGATGATGATGAGATCCATCTTGATCCCACAGACAATACTCACCTAGGAGGATACTAACTGGAACACTCATAGACCCTCTCGACTCGATTCTACATATATTGTGTAAAGCTTCTAAATATTAGTCTTTCAATATTTAACAACAAATTGATCCACAGAATGAAAGGAAAGATGACAATGGCCTGGCTTGGTTACTGCCACGATCATGCAGGCTACACTGGCTGCTCCACAAGGTACCAACATGCCAGGAAGGCCAAAGGGGAGCGATTAGACCAGGAGCAGTGTGACCCCATAC